GCTGGGACCACAGGCGCCCGCCACAACGCCCGGCTATTTTTTGGTTGCAGCTGTCATTGTTGTTTGGTGGGCCCCGGGCTGGATTTGAACCCACCACCTTAGGTATATGTGGCTGGCGCCTTAGCCACTTGAGCCACAGAGACTGAGCCAACACCCGGCTATTTTTTGGTTGCAGCCATCATTGTTGTTTGGCGGGCCCAGGCTGGATTCGAACCCTCCAGCTCAGGTGTATGTGGCTGGCGCCTTAACAGCTTGAGCCACAGGCGCCAAGCCAAATCCTTCTCTTCATGGTCAAACTGACTTCATAAAACTACAACAGCCCATATTAATAGAATTACCAAGCTTCTCACAACAGTGATGCAGGCGCCACATACCTTGTCATGCTTGGGTTTTTATCTTCCTGATGCCATGAAAAATACTGCCAACAGGCCCCTCCAGTTATCCCTTGGCTATCTGTCTTCAGATGATCCTCCTTGATTTCATCTGCCGAGCTCACCTGCTTTATTAAGCCTCTTCCCTCCCTGGTTTGTAAATGAGCTCTCAGTGTTCTGTCTCTGTTCCCTCCCTCTCTCCTGCTACACTCTACCAAGATGAGGGAGGTCATCCTTTCTTAAGGTCTCCAGTCTCCAAGTCAACAAACTCCAAAACGCATATCCAGCATATCCAGCCGGAGCCTTCCCCTTCCTAGCTGCCCCAGGCCATCACCACTGGGTGCCCAACAGCACCTCAGACTGTGCTAGTCTTCTCAACCCAGAGCCTGGTTCTCTTCCTGCTCTAATATCTGCCTAGTCCCAAGCACAGAAAACCTAGACACCCTCTGTGCTTCAATCCTGAGGTTACCACCAACTTCTCCTAGGCTGAGACAGCCACCTCTTTGGCCCCACCCTGTGCTCTGTCCTCCTAGCTTATAACAAGTATGAACACGCCACTTTCCAACCTAAAATCTTCAATGGCAAGTGTAGCCCTTACCCATCTCTCCTCTCCACCTTGACTTTTTTTTTTTTTTTTTTTTTGGAGACAGAGTCTCAAGTGGTTGCCCTAGGTAGAGTGCTGTGGCGTTACAGTTCACAGCAACTTCAAACTCTTGGGCTTAAGCGATTCTCTTGCCTCAGCCTCCCAAGTAGCTGGGACTTTAGGCACTGGCCACAACACCTGGCTATTTTTTTGTTGCAGTTGTCATTGTTGTTTAGCAGGCCCGAGTGGGGTACGAACCCGCCAGCTTTGGTGTATGTGGCCAGCACCCTACCCACTGAGCTATGGGCGCCACCCTCCACCTTGACTTCTGAGCCTCACGTGTCAGTCAATCTTTGAGGTCTCTACCCAGACACACCCTCAGGCTCTGTCCTCTTGAGAGTCAGCATTCTCTAAGCTCACACAGACCTCCCTGGGATGGTCTCCTCCTCTACCAGGCTGCCCCCCAAAACCCAGTTCATTCTACTTCTCTCTTCTGTGAAGCTTCTCTCAATACGCCCGTGAACCCAAACTGGTTGTTCTGTCCTCTGTGCGACCCACAGTGTGCTTTCCTTCGTTATTAGGGTCTCTCCACACTGTTGTCATCTATTTGATGTCACTCTCCCGACTGCATTGGGGGCTTCTCCAGGGGAGCAGTGCAGACCCAGAGCAGGCAGTTGGCAAACTTCAATTCCTTCCCCTCCCATGAGGGGAGCTTTGTCTCTAGCTTTAGCAGTGGTCCAAGTACCCAGGAAATCCTTTGTAAATTGTCCAGAATATGTTCAAGCCTCGTAGTTCTCAGGTGCCAACTCTTCTGCTTCCCACTTACCTGTTTGAAGAGCTAGACTCTGTGGAGAGGCTCCTGCCCAGTGCTTCTTGTAGCTGTTGCTGTAATAACCACTCCTGCTGGGGGTCCTTCCTTTGAACTGCAGCCAGCCACAGCGGGGGGCCCTCCTCCTCACTAGAGTCCCTGGAGAAGCCACTTGTCTCAGTGGCCCATAGATGTCCTGGGAGAAGGGTGGCTGTTCCCACTGCCCACATAGACTCCAGCCACCCATGCCACCACTGAAACACTCACAGCTCCAGGTCCAGGGCCCCTTGGTAGGATTGGGGAGATGCACACACAAGGCAGGTGTCGTCCAGGAGGCGGAAACAGGTGAGACAGTAGAGACCTGGAGGAGGCCAGGAGGGAAGTAGATGAAGTTGAGATTGCCCACCAAGCCCCTGTGCTCCCTGGTTTCCAGGCCCTGCTGCCCTATCTTACCCTAAAGGGACCATCCTTGTCATGGGGTGCACCAGAGAACTGCTGCATATAAACCGTGTTCAGACCCAGTAGGATTAAGGCAATTGTGGAGAATGCACTGCCTGAGGGTGCTGTGTAATGAGCATGAGCATAGTACTGAAGGGAGGCCAGATAGCCAGGAGGTCCATAAAGGAAGGACCACAGTTGGTCATCGTACACAAACATGGTGTGTCCTAGTGGTGAGAGGCACATTTCCTGAGGGGTCTCACCTTGGCAGTTCGGGGTACCACAGGACACAAAGTTCTCCATGTCCTCCTCATCTTGGAGTTTACCACAGCCCAGGCAGTAGCCCTGGTGTGGCCAGAATTGGTTGACAAACGGATGCAGGCAGGAGTACCTAAGAAGAGGGTCACAGACAGTAGCAGGCCCACACTGCCCACCTGACCCTCCTATTCCAGCACCAGCCTCCAAATGACAGGGTAGACTTCCTGCAGTCTAACCCCTATCTCTCCCATCTCAACAACAATCTCTTTCTTCCCTTCAACCTCACCCCTAAGAATTCTCATCCTAATTCTTCCTGGGCTATGAATGGCATGGGCACCCTCTTCAACCAGACCTCTCGACACTTAGGAAGACAGTGACCCTCTCTAACTTCTGGCTCTTTTTTCTGTCTCCTCTTACCTCATCCCTACAGGAAAAAGACAGGGTCCTCACCGGCTGGCCAGGATGAGGAAGACACTCCTGTGGCCCTGGTCGGCTGCACGCCGCCTCACCGCTCTCTGCAGGGCAGACATCAGGTTGGCTCGGCGACTCAGAAGTATGTTGTAGAGATAGGAGATCCTCTCCTAGGGTCAGGGATGGGGTTCCACTTGACCCTGTTTCCTCTGCCCTGAGTGGCCTCTGCACTCATCTCTACCACTGCCTTTTCCTCTGTCCCTGTCCTATGATTCCCCTAGGTTTGGCTCAAATGCTCCTTCCTTTGGGAGCCTTCTGGATGTCCCAGCTGAGGTTGCCCATACCATTTTCTTCATTCCTTAATAAAAGTACTTCTTGAGTCCAGAGTGATGGCTCACACCTATAATTCTATCACTCTGGGAGGCAGAGACAGGTGGATTACTTTTTTTTTTTTTT